TTATTATTATTATTATTATTATTATTATTATTATTATTATATTACACAAGAATATATAATCTTCTCAAATTCCTCATTAAAAATGAATTTCATGTCATGTAGACATAATTTGATTGAAACAGCAAAAATTATCATTTATGAGTAGTGAGTAATATTAATGGCAACAGCAGTAATTAATTAATATTTTTATGTAAAACAAACTAAGCAGTAAAAAAGGCACTAATTAATTGCATAATTATTCCTGAAAGGATAGCAATTACACTTGTAACATATATATTTCATATTGCATTTTTTAATAAAATTGACTTTGTGGCTGTTTGTGCAACAAATTGTTCAAATTCAGACTTGGCTTTGAATTTATTATGCATGCAATGCTTCTTTTCATAGTGTAACTTTGTTTACATTCCGTTCTCATTTTATACGTTTGAGCGAGAAAAAATATGAATTTCTAAATGGAATGCAAGAGAAGAAAAGATGTTTACTATAAAAGTGGACACAACTAATTTACTTTTTGTTTTCATCACTACTTACTATTATCGTTGCTATTTGTTGTTATTTTCATTAAATTTATTATTATTATTATTATTGTCATTATCATTATTATCAATATTATTAGCATTGTTATTACTTTGTCAAGATTATTGTTGTCATCATATTAATTATGAAAATACTAGATCTTCTCACTCTCATATTCATTCTCACTTTCAATTCCGTAATTATATTTTGTACAACAAACTTTAAGTGAGCGTATAAAATCCCTACTTTATTTACACTCCTCCCTTATTCATATTAAATAATTCATTGAAAGTACAAATGGGCCAGGTAACACAGCAAATGTCCAATCATATTTTATCATTGTACCGTAATAAATAAGAGTGATTAATACTTTCAATTATTAGCATTATTTGCCTTCTATTTTTCCATTTTTCTATTCATTACATATGACGAAAACAAAATTTCTTTAAAAGAATATTGTTATCATTATCATTGTTACTAATATGCGATTTTGCTTTGTGATTTTTTTCTGGGGTAAACAAGTGTGAAGTAGACAATTCCATTCTCGAATAATATCCAAAAATGCATGACTGAAATGAGTGAAGCAAGTAGATAATAATATTAAGCTCAATTTAAATTATATAAGTATGAATTTGATGCAGTTTTGGACCAAATTTCGCGAGAACAGTTGTAAAATTAAGTAAATTTTTTTCAAATTGCAATTTTTCGCAACACACTTCAGAAGTCGAGCATTTTGAGAATCGTTTCGTGCATAATAATTAGATAACACATTTTCTCCACTTGTTCACAAACTTTATTGATTAATATTCCAGATCGTTTTTACTTGTTCATCTTAAATTCTTAATCTACCTCAAAAGCGAAAACAGAATTTGGCCTCTCACTAAACAACACTGATCTCACTCATTGCTCACAATAATGATGAGGTTATTTGAATTTTTTTAAACATTACTTTCAGAATTTTTAGCTCATTTCTCATCTTGATTTACTTCTAATTCATATATTGACTCTTAATTTCACATCAAAAAATTTCTAAAATAATTATTTTATTATTATATTTTAGAAAGTTAACTGCAATCAAAATAAGTACTGCTTTTCGCTACCTACATATGTATGGATTATATCAGTTATATATATATGTATCAATTTACAACTTTTCGAATATATTATATTTTAGATTTGAAACAATCAATGCAATTGCAGCATTAAGCGCCGCTGCGGTTGCTGCAGATAAAATTGGTATAAACTGAAATCTTTTATCATATGAAATATTACTTTTACACTTCGCTTCGTAACTAATGACCTGTTTCATCCTTTTTTTCTTAAAAGTATCATTTGAAAGTTTGCGTTAATTAGTCTTGCGTTCTACACGTAGACAGAATTCATTTTTAAATTAAATTCGCTGCTTTCACAAAGTTGCTAGTTGTATAATAAAAAATAAAATATTGAGAATTGATATGATTTTTGGCTTATCATTCACTATTTTGTGAAAATTGCTTATTGTAAAATAAATAAGGCATGAGTAATCACTTTTAGTATAATGATATATATTTTTTAGTAAGGAAATTTGACGTTTTTCATTACTTATTTGTTAGTTATTTTTCAGGCTCGAAACGAGTATATTATTGCCAACGTTGCTTAAACCACAACCGTTTAGAACCACGCAAGAATCACAAGTGTGAATGTGTATATGCAAATTGCGCGTGTAACAAATGCATACTTGTCGAAAAACGGCGTGTGCTGAACACACAATTACATGAACTTGAAGAAGTTGCTGATGTAGAGAATGAAGTTGGTGTTGATGACCTCGGCTTGACTGCTAGATCAAAAGGAGGTTTGAATTTCCGAGTCTTTATTAAGCATAAATATTTGGACTTCCACTTTTTTTTAAAAAATTTTTTTTTAAATAGCAAAGCAAAGACTGAATTTAGAAGCATTATATCCTTAGTTTTTATGTTTCAGTAATTTAACTTAAAATAATTTAGCAAATTAACTGAAAATTTTTGTTCTTGAGCATAATAAAGATGCTATCTTTTTCCTTTGTTAAAAGAACAATAGATTTAAGTAATATGAAACTTTTTGTTTCATTTAATAATAACAATAATAATAATTTGCAATAAATTAATTAATATTACTCTTTCAATGAGCATTGCTAGCGCATACTTAAATTTCTCAAAATATACTTCAATTAAATAAATAAATTATTACTAATATTATTATCATTTTTCTTTTTGTTATCAGTTATTACTTTTGCGACAATTATTAAAAGTATTTTATATTTGATAATGAGAATAACCACTGGCTACTTGATATGCGATTTAATCGCAAATTCAGTTTGTCATCAAACTAGTCGGTGAAAGCTATTATAGCAATCTGTATCAAACTGGATTTCAATAAGATCGGTGCATGATAGTATTAGTACCCTTTTTGAGAAATGGTACCTTCTCAAGCAGGTTTTCATCTCCAGTATACTTATCAATGATGTAGATGGCTGATATATAGCTCATATAATTTACGCTTAATATTTGTCTGCTTACATTGCAAACTTCAGATATAATCTGAATATGCTATATTTATTCAGTTTAAGCAATTTTTTATTCTTCTGTTGGCATCATTAGTTAGGCTTACTTCTATCGAATTATTCACTTCATCATTTACACTTTTTAGAACAAGTATTGAGTATAAATTGTCTCGAATTTAATTGAATATTTTAGCACTAATACTAATAATATATTTTTGGACCAAAAAGTAAAAAGTTTTGAATTTCGACCAAAAATGGAATAATTTAATTAGTTGCCAACGTTGAGTTGTTGAAAATTTACGATTGAAAGAACTTGACTATTTCTGTTTTGATTTGTTAACTCATCAAAGTTATTATAGTTATTTTTGGTTCAAATAATAAGTATAAAAATAAAAAAAAGTTTGTTATTGATTTCACTTTAAAATGATGCAATAATTTTTCTTTCGTCATAAGGTCAGAGTGTAAGCTAAGTCAAAAGCTGAATGAGCAATAAAAATTTAGGCATGACCGAAGATAACTAACTGATAATACATAATGAACAGTAAACAAAATTCAACAATAGCGCTCGTAAAAATTAATATTTGTTCACTATATTCATTTATTCTTAAAGAAAGTTAAACAACTTTCACTTTATTTTTCTTCTGCTCGGTCCAATCTAAAAACATTTGCCTACTTTATTACATCTTGTAGGTTTCTGTGGTTTGCATAGGCTTATCTGTTGCTATGTATCCAAAAACTGCAAATTTACTTTGAAATTTGTGTTTGAAAATTTCTCGAGCTTGCTTTACTTGCTATTTTGAATGAATAATTATGAACAAACTTCCAGAAACAAGAAACTATGTATGTTTTTACATCAGCAACAATCTTAATAATTGTAGTGTTACTAATGACATTTAAAACTGTTTAAGAATAATTATTCAAAATATACAAAATTATTTGTTCGCTTTAATAAGATAAGATTTATAAGTATTTTATAAATATTAATTCTGGGTTTAGAATTAACGGATTCTAGATTTGAAGTCACTCAACTCTTGATGACAGCAAAGCTTGTTTTTATTTTTCATTGTTTTTAACTACAAAATTGTAAATTCTAGTTTTGTTTGCTTTAAAACATTACTACTTCGTGTACTCTGTACATTCGCAAACAAAATTTTCATTTTACTCCGTGAGAGCTCATTTTTATGATTATTCCTACAAAAAAAGTTTGGTTTCATTTAGTAATTGTGAAAGTTTCACACGTGATTGATAAATTTGAAAATTATAAATTGCCATAGAAAGATAAATAGTGTAAATGCTCGTTGGATATATTGCTTGTAATAATAGCCTTTCATAAATAATTAAGCATCAGTGCTATTATTTTTATTATGATTGAAATCAAATTTTTTGCATAACTGAATGATATTCCTCTGCTACAGTACTTTTAATAATAAATTCAATTTTTTTCATACATTAAATTTCTTTCTGTTTGTATGTGTGGCCAACAATTTTTACTTGCAATGATTTCAATCAAAATGGAGAAGTAAAATTAATGCGCAATGTAATTATATTTAATTCTGAATTTATTAAAATGCCTCCACTTTCTCAAATTGTATTACTTAGCACAGCAGCAATTTCATATAAAATTTGTTAAACTATTTTTTCATCTAAAGCATTGAAGTATCTATTTGTGATTTGTAGAGACATAATTTGTTGCTGATTTTCTTCTATTGCTTTAGTCTCAGATAATTTTCTCATAACTGAATATTTGTTATTCATAATATTTATTTACTATTTTTTTCCAATTTTTTTTAAACGAATTTGATTATTTATTTTTCTCAACTTTTTCTATTCTGGAAACAATGAAAAACATTCTTTGAGGTGGAAAAAAAAATGTTTAGTATTCATCTTAAACAGTTCTCCAGTTTATTAATTAACTAAATTATAGCAAAGTAGAATTTATCAGTATGAGCATTTATTTAATGTAAATATTAAGTGATGAATAGTATGATTCTAATTAAGCGATGGATTTGAAATTTGGTTACAAAAATAGACTTCACAATGCTAGTCTAGTTTTGTGATCAAATGCATTAGCAATTAAGCAGTTATGTTTAAAAGTTTATAACACTTGATGTTTTGATTCTTTTCGAATTTCTAGAGATTAGCATGAAAACATCTATGCTACTACTACTGCTACTATTATTATTATTACTAATTATTACTATTATTAGTATATATCTAATGCTATTACGACCATCATTTCTATTACTCTTAGACGAATTTTAGGTGCCGTTTGTTTTCTGAAAGTACTTGCAAAATCAGAAAATAACATTTTCAAATAGCTTAGCAATAGTAGTAATAGTAAAGATTAGTAGTAAAGTAGTTAGTTAGTTAAGGCCAGTTGTTTTGCAACAGTTTTGAAAAGAAAAACGTTGAATTTATTAACCATTCAAAGTGTCTACTAAATTCTTCAAAATAACTGCAAAACTCTCATTTTTTTAAATTATTCAAAAGAAGAAAGCTTTTATTGCAACAAATGCACAATACATATTTCTTCGCTCACTCATATCATCTCATTTCAGTACTATAATTAGAGTTAAATTCTTCACTTAAGCAACTGAAATTGATTTAAAGTGTCTTTTTTTGCACTGAAATGAATTTTGGTATGCTGTATGTGACAAAAGATTATTATTTTATCTTTGATGAGTGCTAAGGTTTTGCAGAGTACAAATTTCAAATTATATTTAATTAGCATGAATATGCACAATGATTAAAAACTTGTTTGTAGTTGTCATCAAATTTTTTAATTGTAGTCAAGTGTGCATGCATAATTCGACGTCTTACAATTATCATTAACTGAATATTTTGAATACTGAAGTAATTAAGGACTAGAAAAACGATTAAAAGTCGCAGTGTTTTTAATAAAATATTTACCTACATATTTTGCTAATGATTAGAATAGTCTTTTAATATTTTGTTAATTTATTTATTTATACTACTTAGTTTTTAATTTTTGGATAAATAAATGTTATGTTTGCATAAACCTAATTTTTAGCTTTCAAATTGAACTCTTTAGTGTAGCAATGAAATTCACTTAGTGCTGATTTGTATGTGACATAAAGTTAAAGACAAAATTGTTTACATCAATAAAATGTTTGAGAAAGACACTTTTTATATTGTTAATGTGATGAATTTTATGGTTTAGAATACGAAAAAACATTAATTCTTATTACATTTTGTGAACTAAAGTGTGCGTGAAGGCATTCAAAGTAATGACATTTTGTCATTTAAAAAAATGATCCTTACATTTGCTACTTAAATTGTTAGTGCGAATTGTTGAAAGAAACTTAGGTAAGTTTTTATTTTTTTAATACATTTTGAGAGTGAATATGCAAATGATCATTTATCTCCTCAAGCACTAATTATGATAAATTGAGGTATTTAAACAATAAATTATTCTCTTTACTATTTATAACTTATTTTTAGAATATTTTTTACTATTCACTTTGCATTTTATAAGTATTATTACACGTCTTGATCAAACCATTAAAAGGACCGAAGAATAGCCTTATACTTGGCCTTTTGTGTTATATTTTACAATTTGCATATAATGAATAGCTAATTTAGTATTTAACAAAATTACGTCAATTACTTAGAATTCATTCTAATAATTTTGAATGAAAAAATGATTCAAAATAGAAGTTAAGACCAAATTATTGTTAGCAAGAAATAAGCTTACTAAAGCAGTAATAGTAATATTCATTGAAGTAGTAAATAGTTTGTTATGCAAGTAAGAAAAAAATAAGCAAAAAATTTAAAGCTAAAAAATGTTAGAATTTACATCGGAAAGTTTACTGCTTGTTTTTCTTCCGCTACTTTTTGAAAGCATAAGGAAGGTGTAGCTAGAAGGGCAGTAGTGGCTAGCTAGCAACTGGCTGCTGGCTAGGAGATGATAATTGTTTGTGCTAGGCTTTTCGTCTAGGCAAGCTAATTTTCGTCTCACATATTCATTTTACTAACCTCACGTTTGCTTTTATGATAAAGAAAGTTCATTTTAAATTATTATACTATACCACGTTTAGCTTTATTTTTGTATTATAAATCGTATTATTTTCAAAAATATACCTTTTTCATTTCTATTGCTCTCACATTCTTGAAACAACGTTTTTTTTGTCTATTGTTATGTTTTTGTCCGCTCGTATTGTGGTCATAATTCACACTCGTAAAATAAAGATCTCAAAGGTTTGTGCAGTGTTAGACTATTTCAACTCATTTTCATTTCTTCTATTTATATCTTTCAATACTTAGAAAGACAGAACCTTATTCTCCTTATAATATTAACTAGAAGTAATTTTATTGCATAATTTATTTTTGAATTTTTCAAAAATGTATAAATTTATTTTTTATGAAATTCCATTTTTCTAAATCTTGTAGAAGACAATCCAGAAAAGCATTTGATTATTGCATTCAAAATAAAAATGAAGTTAAAAAAGTGAATAAGCTGCAGTCCTCTTTAAGAATAATGTTTTACAATTATAACTTTATTCTTATCATTTTAGCGAATATGATGTTATCAACTTAATTTGCAATATTATTTTACTCTCCTAAAAATTGCAGTTTTTAGTTTTTTTTATTTTTTGAAAATTTTTTAAATAAAATTAATACTTCTGTTAACTAAGCAAGTTGGAGAATCAACAAAAAATGATTACGTTCATTTATTTTCTTTCCTTTTAAAGAAATGAGTCTAAGTATGCCTTGCAAATTCAGTGCCTAACGTGAATCAAATACGCGTTGATAAGTAAGCTAGCTATATGTTCACATGTGATAATTCTAGGAGATTTATTCACAAATATATTATTAATGCTCCTCCTAGCCATCAATTCTGTTTTCGACCAGAGATAAAATAATTTGGATATTACTGCGTCAAGTAATATTTATGCAGTGTATCTTCAAGCAATACTTTTTTGTACTATGTAGAATATTTTGCTTAGTTTAATAATTTCATGCTTATATTAAGCTATTTCGTTATCTGATAGGGTCGGGATAGCAATTACACTTGTTACTGACATTACTAATACTTTCATCTGTTATTTATTAACTTTTGATGTCCTATTTAATGAGCTAAAAATTCATCTGCTATATTAATTTTTCAATGGGATTTGATCTAACTCAGTTGAGTTATTATTCGGGAAATCAAATTCAACAAACAGCTTTCGCTTCTTTATCACCTATCAGATGTGAGGAAATTATGCATCAAGCTGATAACACACCAGTTTCCAGTTCGTTTTCAACATCACTACTCTACTTTTAGTAGTATTTAAGGAATCTCATCCACTTAAAGTGTTTCTCTTCAAGAATTATAATGTCAGCACAATTCTTCTTGCTCTAATTTCAATTAAATATAAATTTTCAGTGATGCGTGAAAAACTAAAACTTATCCATGTTTGTCTGCTTGCAACATTTTCTTAGAATTTGTGACAGAAGTTTGTTGTTATAAATAAAAAAATTACTTTTCAAACTCTGCAGAATTCATTTTGCATTTCTGTTTTCTGCAGCTGAGGAATAAGCAAAGAAATTTCCCCATAATACTTTCACAGAATTTATTTGCATAAGAAACAAACAAGTTTATTCTAAAATCCATAACTGAATTGCTTATTTTGTGTTAAAAAATAAATAGATTTATTTTTCAGAACGTGTTCCAAACTGCCAGAAGTGTGGCCAACACGGACGTAAATCACGGCTTAAAGGTCACAAACGTGTATGCCCTTACCGAGACTGTGAGTGTGCAAAGGTACTGCTATTAATATTCTTTTAGTCATTCATAAATTATACAAAGTCAATTCATTAGTCAATGCTTGCATTCTACGCTCATATGTTTTTCATTTGGGAACGAATGCAGTTTTGATAATAACTGCTTTCAGTGTCAAGTAGTTAGCGAAAGACAGAAGTTGATGGCAGATCAAATAAAAATACGACGTCGTCAACGAAAAGATACATTGTTAAATATCACGCGTGAAAATATTACGGCAACTTTGAATGCAGCTGCAGCTGTTGCTGCTTCTGGACCACTGCCTTATTTTCACAACTTTAATGCTTTATTTTGTAAGCTTAAAAACTTTTCAAAATTCGTCAAAACTCACTTTTGTTATTCACAATCTAATTTGTGTAATAAACGATGAAGCGTATCAGTATTACTACAAAAAATACAGTTGGTACACAAGTATTGTGCACAGTAATACCTGCGAAATAAAATTTGTAAAACATAAAAAGTAGTATCTTATTAAGTTGACGGTATATTTCAAAGGTAATAAGCTAAATTTTAGACAAGCAACTTCAACAAAATATGCGTCAGCCGGCAGTGGCAGCATTTCTACCAAGTAATTCACCTCCTAGCGATAGAATGATGGAAGCTGCTGCATTCAACAGTACTTCGGCCAATCTGAGTAACTACTTAACAAATTCAGCGCCTACATCAAAACTTGGCCAGCAAACTCCACAACATCACCAACAGCAACCGCAACATCAGCAACAACAAGCTTCTCCATCTAGTCTACCTCATTTGCAGTTTCTTCTACAACCACAAGCCACAACTCCGACAACCACAACTACAAGTACTCTTGCTGATGGCGATATGCCACTGCACTCACTCACACCACCTTGTAACCAGTCTGAAGATAACGTTCTCATCGGTAATAATCCTCCAATAGCTGTACCAGTGCCAATTAATCCCATCGCAGTGAGTGCCTTGGCACCAAATCTTTCAGCTCAAGATGTGCTCTCGAGAACACTACAGCACCAGCAGCATCAACACCACCACCACCATCAACAACAACAACAACAACATCAGCAAGAACACCAGCAGCATCATCATCAGCAAAGAGAGTTAAGCACATTAAATGTCAATCAGAGTTTGGCCAATGGGCAAATCTCGGCATTTTTGGAAAACGAACAGTTGTTTCAAACACTGCTTAATAATATGCGACAACTAGAGCGAAAAATTTCTGTTGAAGCAGCCAAAGTGGCAGCTGCGACTGCTGCCATACCTGATAGCAGCAGTGGTAGTGGCAGTAGCAGCAGACCTGAGACGACTAATCACTTGCCAGGCATATTCGTTGATGTTTGCAGCGTGTAAACGGGAAGGAGACCTCGCATGCATATGCACGCATCACGCACACGTTTGGCTGGGCTAACTTTTCAAGTTTAGCACATATGAACTCGATTAATTGCAGTTTGCGAAAATTAAATGACTTTGTTTATCTCTTTGTCTGTCTATTTCGTATCTTTGTTATCAATAACTTTGCGTTTCAAAATTTTTTGTGGTATCGCTTTGTGCTTGCGATTCGCATTATATCATCAACAATCCACATTCTACAGGGTCAGTTAATTCGTTCAATCAATCAGTTATCAGTAAGTCAATATTTACTGATTGAAACCGGTGATTTTAGCAAACTAATCAGTATATTGTCATCATCATCTCTTTTTCATTCAATGAAACTTTCTGTCCCATTGTTTAATTTTATATTCATTCATTCATCATAAAACTATTCGATAATTATTTTCTAAATTTCTGTAGAATTTTATTTTGTACAATCTTTGATATTAGTTAGCTAGCAGCTTATGAGCATTTGCAAGTTATAAATTGCAGAAAGTGGTAGTTTGCATTTGCATTTGCATTGTGTTGTCATTTCATGCTTTGTAAGTAAGGCCTGTCTTTCAAGTGAGATGTCTGTTCTGTTTTTTCTTAATTTTCGTTTAATTTTTTTATTTCATTACTTTTGTTGAAGAAAAATAACGTAAGTTTGCAATTTTCTAATAGATTAGGATCATTTTAAACTCTTTGCAAGCATTCTAAAAATGTTAGGCTATCAAATTTGGTTTTAAACGGTGGAAAAAAATTTAATTAAATTATCACTGGTAAAAATTAGCATTTTTTGAAATTTACTACCGTGTGTTTTCGTACGTAAAAACATGATTTTTGGGTTTATTTCTTTTTAAATTTACATAGCATTTGACATCCAATTTTTTCTTTTTTAACTTTTAGGTCATCAAGTTTTCCTGAATGTTTTTTTTTGAAAGTCATTGTTATTTTTACGATTAAATTATATTTTTCATACTTTTTCCAACACATGCAGTCTCATTCATTATCAACTCCTCACATTGCTTATACCTCATATATATAATATGTATTAGATATGTTATTTTTAGGCTTATTTTAGATAGTTTTTGAATTAATGAAGTAAATAGTTCTCAAATATATATGGTGAAAGTATTTACATTTCTTTAATTTTATCATTATTATTAGAAAAATTCGTGAATATATTTCAGCAATGTTGACAAAGTAATAATGTAATGTGAGCAAAAAATTTTTCAGTAAAGTGACACAATTTCTGTTGCTGAAGATAGTTAGTTCGTTTTCGTAACAATATAGCCTGTTGTGTTTTTGAAGTATTAATAGGTCAGAAGTAATTGAAAACGTGAGAAATTTTTTTTATAATTTGATATAATTCATATTGAAGAGGAAGCGGTTTTTCTAGCACTTTGAAACTGAACACTTTTAAACGTTTGATATTTGAAAAATAAAACTTGAAGTATGCTGAAAGTTTGTAAGTGAATTTTCAGAAGATTTTTTTGTGTTACTTTGAATTATCATTCTGATTTTTAACAGTTATGAATTCTTTGAGGCTTTTGTTCTTCTCTTTATTATGCTATCCGTTGTTATGAATGATATATTTGGGTTGGTTGCTTAGAAATTATTTCGAAGTTTTTCTGTAATTTTGACTTTTATAATTCTTACATAGTTGATTTATGTATTCCTTATCAAATTTTATATCGACATTTCTATACACTTTATCAACCTTCTGTTGATATCAGAAGGAATCAACTGGTTTCTATTAAATATTACTTTTTTCGTCTCTTTCAAAAGCTCTGTTTTTTTGTAATTTATCCATTTTTTTAAAATAAAGGTGTATGGTCATGTTTCTATTTAGCTTCACACATAACTACAACTGACATTTTTCATAAAACAAACAATGTAATGCAAATTTATTCAATAGTTGAAAATATTTTTGGTAAAATCATTCAAAAGATTTCACGCATTCTCATTCAAGATGAAATGATAATTTCGTTGATGATTTTCACTAAGTTATAATGTTTTTAGAATAACTTTTAGTTTTATTTTTTTAAATGAATATGAATGTGTGGTGTGTAATTATTTATTTTTACCAATTTCTATGAAAATCCTTTGAAAAAAAGATTAGTGAAAATCAATCGTTTACAGAATTATCATTATTTTTGCGCATAAAATATCAACGTCAAATAATAGTTTTTTTCCGCTGAAGAATGGATACAAATTAGTCTACTTGGTATTTATTATACAGGAATTGCAAGACACCACAATGAGTAGCTTAATGAAAGTTATTACATTCCTTTTTTTCGCAAAGATAATAATATATAAAACTATTATTTATATGCAGAATTTGATGAATTAATAATATATTTTGTTGATTCATTAGTTTTTATAATAAGAAGCATTCCGTTTCATTTTTATTCATAGAAAGTATTGTATTTGATGTAACATTTATAGAGTATTCAAATGCTTTCAATTAAAGTAATGGCCTTTTTTTGCATTTTAAAGTTTTCCTCTAACCATTCTTCATAGACTTCTCATTCATTTGAGAAAAATGGAAATATCATTTCAAATAAAATTCATGCTTTTCATCAAAAGTATTCCAAGCTAAATATTTCTGACAAGCAAACAGCAGGAAAAAGCAACAAAACGTGCGAAGTGACTAACCTATAATGAAAAAACATTATACAACAATGCTGCATCAATATTTCAATACTCTTAAAGTGACCAAAATTATTAGAAGAGTCAGTTATGCGTATAAAATTTATTTTTGAAATGGAATAGATAGAAATCATTCTCAAAAATAACTTTTCACGTAATTTCCATAATACTGTCATTAGCAAGTCAACTTTTATTTTCAGCTAATCAAAACTTAACATCTTAGCCAGTGAAATATTTTTCATTTACGCGTACCGATATACACTATATATATTTTTAATAAAATGCATACTTCAAAATTATGCTACAAAAATTCAAATTTGCTCCATTTTTGAAACACAACAAAATAGTACCATTGAAAAATGAGAATCAAGCAATTGATAAAAATAAACTGCTAAGCTATCATCGCCTATTATTGAATTTCACAAAAGTATTTTGCAATATTGAAATAATAATCACCTGTAATGCAAATTTACACTACTATCTACCTGTATTTGGAATTTTGTTGTTTCAGTTAAACTATTTGTAATATTTGCGAAGGAACTAAAGAATGGATTGCTCATAAAAAGTTCGTAATGATAATAATTAAATGACATTGCAGACAAAAGGCAAACTTAATAATTTGGATCAAATCTCCGTTGATAAATGATAACGAATGAAGGAAAATAGAAAGTTATAATCATTGGAAAATTACGGATAAGACCTGTTTCCTGATGTAATGACATTATTTTACATATAAAGCTTTTACGTTTCATCTCGAATTGTATTCTTGAATTTACTTTTATTATTT